TTTCTCCAATTTATGCTTTGGCCACAAATAAGAGGATAGGACGAGTCAATAATATTAGCTATGAGTGAACAGAATATGAACTTTTAAAAGTGAGATTTTCACTGGTCAGTTACTTTAATAATACAGTGCATTCGGAAAAGTATTCAGACCCCTTAACTTTTTCCACATTTATTTACGTTACATCCTTATTCTAAAATCGATTAAATTGTTTTTTTTCACTTAGCAATCTACACACAATACCCCATAATGACAAAGCAAAACAGGTTTTTAGACATTTTTGCAAAAAATACCACAAAAACGGAAATATCACATTTACATAAGTATTCAGACCCTTTACTCAGTACTTTGTTGAAGCACCTTTGGCAGCAATTACAGCCTCGAGTCTTCTTGGGTATGACGCTACAAGCCTGGCACACCTGTATTTGGGGAGTTTCTCACATTCTTCTCTGCAGATCCTCTCAAGCTCTGTCAGGTTGGATGGTGAGCGTCGTTGCACGGCTATTTTCAGGTCTCTCAAGAGATGTTTCATCGGGTTCAAGTCCAGGCTCTGGCTGGGCCACTCAAGGACATTCAGAGACTTGTCCCGAAGCCACTCCTGTGTTGTCTTGGCTGTGTTCTTAGGGTCATTGTCCTGTTGGAAGGTGAACCTTCGCCCCAGTCTGAGGTCCTGAGCACTGAGCAGGTTTTCAGAGAGGATCTCTCTGTACTTTGCTCCGTTCATCTTTCCCTTGATCCAGACTCCCAGTCACTGCCGCTGAAAAACATCCCCACAGCATGATGCTGCCACTATCATGCTTCTCCGTAGGGATGGTGTCAGGTTTCTTCCAGACGTGACACTTGGCATTCAGGCCAAAGAGTTCAATCTTGGTTTCATCAGACCAGATAATCTTGTTTCTCATGGTCTGAATCCTGTAGGTGCCTTTTGGCAAACTCCAAGCGGGCTGTCAGGTGCCTTTTACTGAGGAGTGGCTTCCGTCTGGCCACTCTACCATAAAGGCCTGATTGGCGGAGTGCTGCAGAGATGGTTGTCCTTCTGGAAAGTTCTCCCATCTCCACAGAGGAACTCTGGAGCTCTGTCAGAGTGACCATCGGGTTCTTGGTCACCTCCCTGACCAAGGCCCTTCTCCTCCAATTGCTCAGTTTGGCCAGGTGGCCAGCTCTAGGAAGAGTCTTGGTGGTTCCAAACTACTTCCATTTAAGAATGAGGGAGGCCACTGTGTTCTTGGGGACCTTCAATGCAGCAGAAATGTTTTGGTACCCTTCCCCAGATCTGTGCCTCGACACAATCCTGTCTCGGTGCTCTACGGACAATTCCTTTGACCTCATGGCTTGGTTTTTGCTCTGACATGCACTGTCAACTGTGGGACCTTATATAGACAGGTGTGTGCCTTTCCAAATCAAGTCCAATCAATTGAATTTACCACAGGTGTACTCCAATCAAGTTGTAGAAACATTTCAAGGATGATCAATGGAAACAGGATACACCTGAGCTAAATTTTGAGTCTCATAGTAAAGGGTCTGAATACTTATGTAAATAAGGTATTTCTGTTTTTTTCAAAAATTTATAAAGACCTGTTTTTGCTTTGTCATTATGGGGTATTGTGTGAAAATTGATGAGGGAAAAAAAGATTTTATACATTTTAGAATAAGGCTGTAACGTAACAAATGTGGAAAAAGTCAAGGGGTCTGAATACTTTCCGAAGGCACTGTATTACTAATAGTTCAGCAATACTTCACCTGCCACAAACCCAGGGATCCACAGAAGCCATCCCATTTTCTAAACAAAACGATAGCAACATTATGCACCTATTTAAAACATTGAACAAGTAAATTCAAACAGTTCATTTATGATGTACATTGCAATCCATTTAAACATGATGTGATGAGGAAAATCTCATCGCTGGAGTTTAATCAAAAGTGACCACGCCTACAGAAAATGTGATGAACTGTTTTCGTATAAATCAATAAGTCCTTTCCACCTTTATGCTAATATATAAGAAAAGGGTTAAATGGAACTTTAATCCACCACAAAGGCTCCCAGACTATATAATGGCTCTAAATTTCAAATAACTGCTCGACTGACACTTGAATATCAGGTCCATCTTCATTTGGCTACGTCTTACGATTTTAAAGTTCAGGTTCCTTTCCGAGCCAAGGCCATTGTGACCCATGTTAATGGCTATTTATATTCCAGAGCCATACTTGCCGTGATCTTCTGTTAAGAATTATATCCCATTCAATCATTATTGCTCACCAATCATTATTGCTCACCTATTGAAGAGCTTGATGGCAATATGGGGTGCAGGTCATTTAAATGTCATAAGGAGTGTGTGGTAGTAAGTGGGTAAACAACATGTTGAGCACACGTATGAAGAGTGTAATCGAATGCTTATCTAACCTCTTTCTGAATGGTATTGCCATACTATAGGGCTTTAACTAGTGTTACTAGAGTCACTAGACCAACATATGAGCATCAGGCATGGACATTATAGTCATAAACACTACAGTCGTGGTCAAAGGTTTTGAGAATGACACAAGTATTGGTCTTCACAAAGTTTGCTGCTTCAGTGTTTTTAGATATTTTTGTCAGATGTTACTATGGTATACTGAAGTATAATTACAAGCATTCCATAAGTGTCAAAGGCTTTTATTGAAAATTACATTAAGTTTATGCAAAGAGCCAATATTTGCAGTGTTGACCCTTCTTTTTCAAGACCTCTGCAATCTGCCCTGGCATGCTGTCAATTAACTTCTGGGCCACATCCTGACTGATGGCAGCCCATTCTTGCATAATCAATGCTTGGAGTTTGTCAAAATTTGTGGGTTTTTGTTTGTTCACCCGCCTCTTGAGGATTGACCACAAGTTCTCAATGGGATTAAGGTCTGGGGAGTTTCCTGGCCATGGACCCAAAATTTCGATGTTTTGTTCCCGGAGCCACTTAGTTATCACTTTTGCCTTATGGCAAGGTGCTCCATCATGCTGGAAAAGGCATTGTTCGTCACTAAACTGTTCTTGGATGGTTGGGAGAAGTTGCTCTCGGAGGATGTGTTGGTACCATTCTTTATTCATGGCTGTGTTCTTAGGCAAAATTGTGAGTGAGCCCACTCTCTTGGCTGAGAAGCAACCCCACACATGAATGGTCTCAGGATGGCTTTACTGTTGGCATGACACAGGACTGATGGTAGCGCTCACCTTGTCTTCTCCGGACAAGCTTTTTTCCGGATGCCCCAAACAATCGGAAAGGGGATTCATCAGAGAAAATGATTTTAACCCAGTCCTCAGCATTTCAATCCCTGTACCTTTTGCAGAATATCAGTCTGTCCCTGATGTTTTTCCTGGAGAGAGTGGCTTCCTCGATACCAGACATGCCCTTCTTGACACCAGGCCATCCTCCAAAAGTCTTTGCCTCACTGTGCGTGCAGATGCACTCACACCTGCCTGCTGCCATTCCTGAGCATGCTCTGCACTGGTGGTGCCCCGATCCCGCAGCTGAATCAATTTTAGGAGACGGTCCTGGCGCTTGCTGGACTTTCTTGTGCGCCCTGAAGCCTTCTTCACAACAATTGAACCTCTCTCCTTGAAGTTCTTGATGATCCGATAAATGGTTGATTTAGGTGCAATCTTACTAGCAGCAATATCCTTGCCTGTGAAGCCCTTTTTGTGCAAAGCAATGATGACGGCACGTGTTTCCTTGCAGGTAACCATGGTTAACAGAGGAAGAACAATGATTTCAAGCACCACCCTCCTTTTAAAGCTTCCAGTCTGTTATTCTAACTCAATCAGCATGACAGAGTGATCTCCAGCCTTGTCCTCGTCAACACTCTCACCTGTGTTAACGAGAGAATCACTGACATGATGAAATGCAGTGGAAATGTTTTTTGGGGATTAAGTTCATTTTCATGGCAAAGAGGGACTTTGCAATTATCTGATCACTCTTCATAACATTCTGGAGTATATGCAAATTGCCATCATCAAAACTGAGGCAGCAGACTTTGTGAAAATTAATATTTGTGTCATTCTCAAAACTTTTGACCACGACTGTAGATAGAAACCTAACTTTTTCACAGGGCTTGGGTTATTTCTGTGTTCGATCCCTTAACAATCAGTGGCCCCGACATGTTGATTGGGAATATTAATCTTGATGGATTTCATTGGCCGCCTAACTGTATCCATTAATCAACTCTCTCATTGGTACAGTATGGGGCGCTTTGATTCATCACCCCAACAGATGAAGATGAACTCAGCAATATATTTCTCATCATAACACCACACTCCACATACATATTAATAGAGTAGTTTTCAGCTGGTAGGCATGAATCATTTTTATAGACAGGGAATTTTAACAGCCGCCCCGGCGTGACCAAGAACAATACATAATCAAGTGCTTTAAGGTAGGACCAAGAAAAACAAACAACTATCCGAGCCACATATTCAAAGTCGCATTTATTCGACGTAGCAACTCGAAGGGTACTTACGCAGCCTCTATGGATGTACAAATGACTTGCAGTTTGTCAATGGCAATGTATCAACAATGACTTAGTGTTATCTCTGATCGTGTTTATGAATACTTTGGCACTTTACAAATATCAGCATGCCGGATGCCGTTCACTGCGGTGGTATATTGGTTGCATTGGTCAAATGTGATGTTTTACTTTGGACATGATGCTTTGAAGAATATGACATAGCTAGATCAATGTGATTGCATCAGGTGAGTATTGGCCTCACATCTTTAGACTACAGTATTTATTTTTGGATTATAATTATTTGCGGTGTATTAAGCCTAGTTAATGGCTATAGACTCTATTTTAAGCCTATTGAAAAGCCATACATTAAGGATTAAGATCACTTTATTTGTCAATTGTACGATTGCTGTCACACCTCTCTAACCACTAGGCTACCTGCCACCCCTAGATTTTTCCTATTGGCGGTATAGTAAGCTTATTGAAAGACCATTGAAAGGCTATAGATTTGAGCTACTGAGTTGAGTTGCCCCACCCTCATGTACTATTGGTTAAATGACCTGTCAGTCAAGCTGAGGATGTTTCTGATTGGTCCTGTGTCTCCAGGTGTACAACCAACATTACAAGGCTGTGCTGGACGGCATGGAAACAGACAGTATCATGGAGATTGACCCCGCCCACCGCATTGAGATCTTCAGGATGGGGAACGGTAGTGATGAGGTGCTCGAGGTCCACGACTTCAAACATGTAAGTGTTGTCAAAATTCACATTAGATACAGAATACTTTATGCATATTTCATATACTGTCATTGTCTTTTTCTTTATTCTAGTTTTTGTGCAGAATGACTGCATTTGTGTTCGAGCCCTTTCCAAATTGCTGTTAGATTGTGCAAAACCATTTCTGTTCTCCTGAAATCATATAATCTTCTTGGACAATACCCTGCACTCTCTCCTGTGTTTCTCTCTCTCTCTCTCACGGAAAAAGCTGATATGACAATGTGTGTTATCTAATAACAAGAGGTTTCAATTCCCTCTCATATACAATCCCTTATCCACCACACACACATACACACACACATGCAGGTAACTGCCAAAATAAAAGAAACACCAACATAAAGACTCTTAATAGGGTGTTTGGCACCCAAGAACCAGAACAGCTTCAATGCACACAGTGTCTAGAACAAGAAGAAGAAATTCCATCATTTGGTGTTTTGTTGAGGGTGGTGGAAAATGCTGTCTCAGGTGCCACTCAAGAATCTCCCATAAGTGTTCATTTTGATTGAGGTCTGGTGACTGAGACGGCCATGGCATATGGTTTACATCGTTTTCATGCTCATCAAACCATTCAGTATAAACTCGTGCCCTGTGGAGGGCGGCATTGTCATCCTATGGGGCATAGCCATGGCAGCCATAATAATGGCCAAAATAATGGCCTGCCCATGATGAGATGTTAATTGACTCAGAAATCACGCCTGTGTGGAAGCACCTGCTTTCAATATCTTTGTATCCCTCATTTACTTGTGTTTCCATTATTTTGGCAGTTACCTGTACATACACACACACACACACACATTCATACCTGAATATCATATATTAAAAACAAAAAACTGTTTTAAGTGAGAAGTAGGCATTGGTCTGAAGCCGAAAAATAAAGGAAATATGCACCACAATGCCTATTCAACCCATGCTCTACAAAGGTTTTCCAGCACACAGCTTTGACCAACTACAATAGCTATGTTGGTATATTATACTTCCAGCAATGTGTAGGCAGGTTGCTTAGGATTCAAACTTTCTCAAACAGCCTAATTCATACTCTTAGAGGAGGTACTGCATACAAGTTAAAGTATTGGATTCTTCACACACCACACTAATCCCATTCCACTACTTTTCAAGTTTTTAAAAAATTATATGAAAGCAAGTTTTGCTTTTATACTTACAAGATTGTCATGCTTGATTGAGAGAGGTGTTTTGTCTTGTAGTAATGTGGTGCCTGCCTGTATTTCCTTAAACCTTTTTTTTAGCAATACATGTCATTGAGAACAAAATATTCTACTACTCAAGGTCTCGATGAACAGAGGAGGTCTTGAAGAACAAATGAGTAGTAGAATCAGGTAGGGTAGCACTGGGCTTGAATAAAAAAACCTGCATAAAAGTGAAACTGACAAGGAGAAACGTTTGCCACATGGTTTGCTGTAATCTACACTACCGGTCAAAAGTTTTAGATTTTTTTAAAATATTTTATATTTGAGATTCTTCAAATAGCCACCCTTTGCCTTGATGACAGCTTTGCACATTCTTGGCATTCTCTCAACCAGCTTCACCTGGAATGCTTTTCAAACAGTCTTGAAGGGGTTCCCACATATGCTGAGCACTTGTTGGCTGCTTTTCCTTCACTCTGCGGTCCTACTCATCCCAAACCAGCTCAATTTGGTTGAGGTCGGGGGATTGTGGAGGCCAGGTCATCTGATGCAGCACTCCATCACTCTCCTTTTTGGTAAAATAGCCCTTACACAGCCTGGAGGTGTGTTGGGTCATTGTCCTGTTGAAAAACAAATGATAGTCCCACTAAGCCCAAACCAGATGGGATGGTGTATTGCTGCAGAATGCTGTGGTAGCCATGCTGGATAAGTGTGCCTTGAATTCTAAATAAATCACAGATAGTGTCACCAGCAAAGCACCCCCACACCATAACACCTTCTCCTCCATGCTTTACGGTGGGAAATACACATGCGGAGATCATCCGTTCACCCACACCGCGTCTCACAAAGACACGGCGGTTGGAACCAAAAATCTCAAATTTGGACTCATCAGACCAAAGGACAGATTTCCACCAGTCTAATGTCCATTGCTCGTGTTTCTTGGCCCAAGCAAGTCTCTTCTTATTATTGGTGTCCTTTGGTAGTGGTTTCTTTGCAGCAACTCGACCATGAAGGCCTGATTCACACAGTCTCCTCTGAACAGTTGATGTTGAGATGTGTCTGTTACTTGAACTCTGTAAACCATTTATTTGGTTTGCAATTTCTGAGACTGGTAACTCTAATGAATGTATCCTCTGCAGCAGAGGTAACTCTGGGTTTTCCATTCATGTGGCGGTCCTCATGAGAGCCAGTTTCATCATAGCTCTTGATGTTTTTTGCGACTGCACTTGAAGATTTTCTTGAAATTTTCCGGATTGACTGACCTTCATGTCTTAAAGTAATGATGGACTGTCGTTTCTTTTTGCTTATTTGAGCTTGTTCTTGCCATAATATGGACTTGGTCTTTTACCAAATAGGGCTCTATTCTGTATACCCCACCTACCTTGTCACAACACAACTGATTGGCTCAAACACATTAAGAAGGAAAGAAATTCCACAAATTAACTTTTAACAAGGCACACCTGTTAATTGAAATGCATTTCAGGTGACTACCTCATGAAGTTGGTTGAGAGAATGCCAAGAGTGTGCAAAGCTGTCATCAAAGCAAAGGGTGGCTATTTGAAGAATCTCAAATATACAATGTATTTTGATTTGTTTAACACTTTTTTGGTTACTACATGATTCCATATGTGTTATTTCATAATTTTGATGTCTTCACTATTATTCTACAATGTAGAAAATAGTAAAAATAAAGAAAAACCCTTGAATGAATAGGTCTGCTAAATGACGTAAATGTAAATGTGTTCTAAAACCTTTGACCGGTAGTGTACGTGTCTGATTTTGTCCATTTAATGTAAAACGGATCAAACATAATTTCTGACTGGACGACAGCTAATGTTGCTATGCTGTCTTAATAGCATAGGTTAATGATTTGTCACTCGCAATGCTCATTATCAGCCGCTCACCACTGGTCTGTTTGCATATTAGTTGGCTGTCTAGGCCTAACTGGTGAGACCGACACATACTAGCCTACTACTTACATATATCTACTGTGTTTAACTTACCTGTAAAGGCTCAGCTAGGTCATTGAATGTTCGTCAATAAGATGATTCTGGCCTATAACAAATCAATCAGATAACCTACTAGGCCAGGGGTGTCAAACGTATTCCATGGAGGGCCTAGTGTTTGCGGGTTGTTGTTTTATTTAAGACCTAGACAACCAGATGAGGGGAGTTCTTTACTAATTAGTGACCTTAATTCATGAATCAAGTACAAGGGAGGAGTGAAAACTTGCAGACACTCGGCCCTCCGTGAAATGAGTTTGACACGTGTACTATGCCCACATATAGACCTAACCAGCTAGCTGGCTAGCTAGTAGCCTACGCCAAATCAATTCAGACCTGCTAATTATTTATACGGAACTATATAAGGCAAATCTAACAAATCTGAAAATACAATTTAAAAAATATGGATAAATATAGTCTGAATTTTCATATATGGTTATGATTAATAGTTTTACGAGTCATTGGAGATTAGTCTGTCTCAGAGATAAGAAGGGAAAGAGTGAAAGTCTGACAGGAGATTCTCTCTGCTAAATGACTCAAATGTAAAATGTAAAAATGAGAAACTTACAGAAAATTGTTTATTGTCCTTGCAAAAGTCTAAATTATACATTTAAAGCTGCCCTGGAACAGGAAGAAGAAAGGAATCTGTGTATGATCTTTTTAAATTGGAATGCAGTTCTAGTCATTCCACATCTATACTACTACTACATTTCACATACTTTTTGTTGTTTTACCTGGGTGCACCGTGTGTATTACCCGCAACCCCTGACTGCTTTTTACTTGTGTTTCAGTGTGTTTCTGGGAACACACTGAAAAGTAACTTGACAAAGGTGTCATTGTACGCTGATGATTCATGTTTTCTTTTAAATCCACAGCTTGGATCCCTCAACAGCCTCATAGAGGATCTAGATAATTGTTCTAACATCTCTGGATTACAACCAAATTATGATAAGTGTACTATATTACGAATTGGATCACTAACAAATACAACTTTTACATTACCGTGTAGTTTACCAATAAAATGGTCTGATGGTGATGTGGATATACTCAGTATACATATCCTGAAAGAAAGAAATTATCTCACTCCAATACATTTAATAGAAAGTTAGCAAAAATAGATAAGATCTTGCTACCATGGAAAGGTAAATACCTGTCTATATCCCTGATTAACTCTTTAGTAATATCCCAGTTTACCTATTTACTTATGGTCTTGCCTACACCTAGTGAACAGTTTTTTAAATTATATGAGAAAAAATGTGGAACGGCAAGCCAGACAAAATTTAATGGGCCTATTTATATAATGAATATGAATTCGGAGGGCAGAAATGAATAAATACTAAAGCTTCAGTCATACAAAAGTTATACTTTAATCCGAACTGGTTCTCTAGCAATGTCTCACCCTATGTTGAAGAATGGCCTTTTTCCCTTTATTCAGATTACAACTTCTCACTTTCAGTTATTTGAAAAGGAAATCATCTCCCAAATATCACTATTTCTAAAACAAGCCAAAGTTGGTTGCGATTTCAATTTAATCCTCCAGAAACGACAGAACAAATAATGCAACAAATATTGTAGTTAAACTCAAATATACTAATTGATTAAAAAAACATTTAAAAACAAATGTTTAAAAAAGGTATAAACATTGTAAATGATATCATAGATAGGACTGGTGGAGTTATGTCGCACATGCAGCTAACAAAAACATATGGAAATGTCTGCTCTACCCAAAATTACAACCAAATAATTGCAGCATTACCGCAAAAATGGATGAGGAAAGTGGAAGGGGGAAAAAGTAAGGAACTTGTCTGTTGGCCCTGCATTAAAGACCATAGTTGGTAAAAGAAAATTGTGATAAATAAAAAAGTATACCAGTTTCATTTAAGGACCAAAAAATTGACTGCCGTGCCATATAGATTGCAAAATAGTTGGGAAGAGATTTTTGTGTTGTTTACCTCCAATCAAGTTGATTTGCGAATTTTCATCGACCGGTCAGACTATAATAAAATGGAATATCTAATAACAAGAGGTCTCAGTTCACTCACACTCATACTCAAACACACACGTGGCCGCACACACACACACACGCACACAAACACACATGTTGCTAGTTTCTCCTCCATCCCATCCAGTCTGAATTATCCACTTTTGTCAGTGAAGCGAATCCACCAAGGAGATGTGTTTGTTTCCAGGCATGGCCACGGGAGACTGCATTGTGAAACAAGTGAGCGAGCACAATAATCCTCATTGTGAATAGAAGAGAGTGGAGGAAAACGCAAACCTTATTATAAATTATACGAACTGTAAATTGAGGGGGAAGGGTTTGATATGTCTTTTTATAAAGAAAGGATGTTTCAAGGGTTTACCAATTAAAAAGCCACCTTTAAAACCATCTCTGTCAAGCCCAAGGGCTGTGTATGAGGCATTGAATGGGCAGATAATGCAGCTTAAGGACCAGAGGAGAAATCCATTTTCTATTGTTTCAGGCAAATACAGGGAAGAACCTAGGGAACTGGCATTCAAGCATATTCAACAGTCTATTATATTAGAATCATTATGGTCACACAGTGCAACCACCTGCCACCACCACCACATCTACTGTATTTTTATGTAGCTCTTCTCAACAAAACATAATGTGGTCATTTCATGAATAATTCGATGCAAACAGTGGTTCATGTTGACAGTAATTATGTACAGTTGAAGTCGGAAGTTTGCATACACCTTAGCCAAATACATTTAAACTCAGTTTTTCACAATTCCTGACATTTAATCCTAGTAAAAATTCCCTGTCTTAGGTCAGTTAGGATCACCACTTTATTTTAATAATGTGAAATGTCAGAATAATAATAGAGAGAATGATTTATTTCAGCTTTTATTTATTTCATCACATTCCCAGTGGGTCAGAAGTTTACATACACTCAATTAGTATTTGGTGGCATTGCCTTTAAATTGTTTAACTTGGGTCAAACGTTTCAGGTAGCCTTCCACATGCTTTCCACAATAAGTTGGGTGAATTTTGGCCCATTCCTCCTGACAGAGCTGGTGTAACTGAGTCAGGTTTGTAGGCCTCCTTGCTCGCACACGCTTTTTCAGTTCTGCCCACAAATGTTCTATAGGATTGAGATCAGGGCTTTGTGATGGCCACTCCAATACCTTGACTTTGTTGTCCTTAAGCCATTTTACCACAACTTTGGAAGTATGCTTGGGGTCGTTGTCCATTTGAAAGACCCATTTGCGACCAAGCTTTAACTTCATGACTGATGTCTTGAGATGTTGCTTCAATATATCCACATAATTTTCCTTCCTCATGATGCCATCTATTTTGTGAAGTGCACCAGTCCCTCCTGCAGCAAAGCACCCCCACAGCATGATGCTGCCACCCCCGTGCTTCACGGTTGGGATGGTGTTCTTCCGCTTGCAAGCCATCCCCTTTTTCCTCCAAACATAACGATGGTCATTATGGCCAAACAGTTCTATTTTTGTTTCATCAGACCAGAGGACATTTCTCCAAAAAGCTGCCATCAAGGCAAAGGGTGGCTATTTGAAGAATCTAAAATAACATCTATTTTGATTTGTTTAACACCTTTTTGGTTACTACATGAGTCCATATGTGTCATTTCATAGTTTTGATGTCTTCACTATTATTCTACAATGTCAAAAATAGTAAAAATAAAGAAAAACCCTTGAATGAGTAGGTGTGTCCAAACTTTTGACTGGAGTGTATATTTTACCAATTAAGGTTTTTCATATAAGGCTGAAGTCATCATGTGTAAACTTCTGATCTAGACACGTTTATCGGCGCACAAACAAATATGCATAAATAAACTAGCAAAATTCCTTGGCTGCTATGATAGCCAGTTAACGTTAGCTAGCTAGGTAACATTAGCTAAGGTGTATGGCCAGTTCATGCGCCACAATATATCATACTTTCTTACACAAAACATAGCTAGTTAACATTAGTTACGTTGTTTAAAACCACTAAAGTTCAGGAAACTGCCATGCTGCTCACGTTCATTTGCATTGCACAGACCAAGCTACGGTTAGACGAGGTAGCCAGATTTCAGACAGGACAAACATTGCAGTTAGCTACAATGCATTTCCTCGACTAAGAACAACCAATACCACACAAACCATAGCCGAGAAAACAATTTGGTTTGTTAAGAAACAGGAAGCTAGTTATGAACCGCATATAGTAAATGGTTGAACCCCAAACGAATGTAAACAGAACCTCAGTTGTGCATGCTAGAATCAAGCTACCAGACTCGACTGACAGCATCGCTGTTTCAAATGTGTAGAATAAATTCCAGCTCTCTCTCCTTCCAACTTGCCATTCTTATAATCCAAATGTGTGCTGACTGATCAACACAGTGTCAAGTTACTTTTTAGTGTGTTCACAGAAAATCTGAAGTCGCCATGCACAACTAAAAAGTTGGGCTGCAAACGGTGCACCAGGATAAAACAACAACATCAGAATCATTGCTTGTGCAAGATGCTGTGTGTCAGCATGGTCACATAGACTAGACGTAACATAGTAAAAGTAAATCCGGATCACTGAAATGAGGATGATATGTTACGTTTGGTATGGTTACATAATACAGAAGGTTACTTAAGGCAAAAACGAGGGTGGTTGGTCAGGGTGAAAGGATGGGCGTATAACTCGAATGTCTAGCAACCCAAAGGTTGAGTGTTCCAATCTCATCATGGTCAACTTTAGCATTTTAGCTAATTACCAACTTTACAACTACTTACTACTTTTTAGCCACTTTGCAACTACTTAGCATGTTAGCTAACCCTTCCCCTAACCCTAACCTTAACACTTTAACATAACTCCTAACCTTAACCCTAACCCCTAGCCTATCTAACGTTTGCCACCTAGCTAACAATAGCATTAGCCACCTCACTAATGTTTAGCACAACAAATTGGAATTCGTAACATATCATACGTATTGTAATTCCTAATATATCATGCGAAATGTATGATTGACATCCACAAATTAATACATACCATACCATACGAATATATCAAATCAAATCAAATCACATTTTATTGGCCACATGCGCCGAATACAACACACATTACAGTGAAATGCTTACTTACAGCCCTTAACCAACAATGCATTTCTTTTTTAATAAAAAAGTAAAATAAAACAACAACAAAAAAGTGTTGAGGAAAAAAGAGCAGAAGTAAAATAAAATAACAGTAGGGAGGCTATATATACAGGGGGGGTACCGTTGCAGAGTCAATGTGCGGGGGCACCGGCTAGTTGAGGTAGTTGAGGTAATGTGTACATGTGGGTAGAGTTAAAGTGACTATGCGTAAATCATTAACAGAGTAGCAGCAGCGTAAAAAGATGGGGTGGGGGTGGTGGAGCAGTGCAAATAGTTCGGGTAGCCATGATTAGCTGTTCAGGAGTCTTATGGCTTGGGGGTAGAAGCTGTTGAGAAGTCTTTTGGACCTAGAATTGGCACTCTGGTACCGCTTGCCGTGCGGTAGCAGAGAGAACAGTCTATGACTAGGGTGGCTGGAGTCTTTGACAATTTTGAGGGCCTTCCTCTGACACCGCCTGGTATAGAGGTCCTGGATGGCAGGAAGCTTGGCCCCAGTGATGTACTGGGCCGTACGCACTACCCTCTGTAGTGCCTTGCGGACGGAGGCCGAGCAGTTGCCATACCAGGCGGTGATGCAACCAGTCAGGATGCTCTCGATGGTGCAGCTGTATCATTTTTTGAGGATCTGAGGACCCATGCCAAATCTTTTCAGTCTCCTGAGGGGGAATAGGCTTTGTCGTGCCCTCTTCACGACTGTCTTGGTGTGTTTGGACCATGATAGTTCGTTGGTGATGTGGACACCAAGGAACTTGAAGCTCTCAACCTGTTCCACTAGCATTCTAAATGTTTAGTTCGGATTTACGTACAGAATAATACGAAATGCTATGAGATCAGGTTGCAGCAGCATGCAATCAAAAGAAAAAGGAAATGCTATGAGATCAGGTTGCAGCAGCATGCAGTCAAAATAAAAGGAAATGCTATGAGATCAGGTTGCAGCAGTCAAAAGAAAAGGAAATGCTTGATAACTTGGTAAACTACGTGATTAAATGACACACACACTTATGTTAATGTATTAGGTGGCTCTTAAAAGAGCCTTTAGGTTCGTGGAGAGGCAGGCAAGTGGCAGGTGGTGTGTACTCAGTGGCGGTTTTACACGGAGGCCGGGGGAGGCCCGTGCCTCCCTGGAAATGTCCCTGGCCACCCCTGTGGCCCCCCCGTGCTGACCAAATAAAAAATTATGAATTTATAACTATTTTACACGCGAGCGCCAAAAGCGGAACTAATGCAACGCTCTACACGGCAACGTTCTACACGGGTAAATTAGAGTGGCGCACCCGAAGGTCGAAGGTAAGCAAAACGATTTAATATCATAAGTGACTTGTTGTTCTTGCACATAGCCTACATGTTCCTTTTGTTCCTCACACATAAATCAAATCAAGTTTTTAAATGTCTGGTCTCGATTTGTTTAGAAATGTAATCATATCTAAGCAAACTCATCGAAGCAGAAGCAAATATCCAAATGTTAGTAGGCTATCCTTGCTAGGTCTACACAATGTTGTGATGTTAACCACGTAACTTCATCCGTCTTGGCTGTTGCATCGCGATAACAAATACATTTTTAGTAAAGTAATCAACAGGTTATCTGCCAGCCCAGTGTTAAGTAGGGAGGGATGGTTAGGTAACAAAATGTAATGCATGCCCCTACGTTTTTTCTTCTTCTAATAGTTATCATGAAACGAGGAAGGGACATAAAGTCATTTTTTGCCCCAGCAAACAAAAAAGTTAGATAGAGTTTATGATTTTATTCTTTTGAATTATCTCTGCCAAACATCTATGTACTACAAATCTTCAAGCTCCACAGATGTTTTATGGCATCCACTAAACCTCTTTAGATATTTGTAAATTATACAGTGTGATACCTTTCAACGAAAGTTTATTTTATTTTTTACCAACTATGATTTTTCCTTTTGAAAACAAGCAAAGCAAGAAAAAAAAGAAACAAAATCACTCCAATCATTGCACACTTGTGTCGTTCAGACTTTGCAGGTCCAGCTTTGACATGATGATCTAACTAACACTAATATTGTAACTAATATTGTAACTGAAATATGTATGATCCTATGATGAGCGATTGCTTACTTCCCTTTCACTCTTAAAAAATTACTGAAAAAAAATGTGTATAAAAAGGTATATGTAGTATATGTTTGTTTAGTGAGCATTCATGCTGTCATTTTTTCCTAATGTGAACTATGGTGGAAATGTGCTGTCCTAAATGGACTTGCCCATATATGTTGTAAAGCCTTTTTTTGTACACCTGCTCATCAACTGACAGTGAAGTACACAAAGACACAGACACACACACACAGACACCTGTAATATTCTTGTTTTCATGTTGTTGCTGATATCCATCAGTGTTGTTCATATTGCTACATTGTGTTGACATGATTGTTGCTTTTAAACGAATGTTAACTTAATGTTTATTGTCTGCATCCTATTGGACTACTGGATGTTAATGTGTAACACGTTTCCCTGTTTATGTGCTTTAGCAATACTGTATGTCAATATGGTCATGCTAGTAAAGCCTCTTTGAATTGAATTTCTTTTCTGATTTGGTTTATTTTACCTAAATGGATACAGGGTAGTGTGTTTTGTTTATAAATCACTCAGAAAGTTTTCTTTCTTAAAACAAAATGTGGAATCAACTGTCCACAGTAGTGGGGCTTCCATAAATAGGAAATGGCACATTGTTGTACCCTTTGTTGTATCCTGGAGTTTTGTTCACATTGAATATGAACCCTGTATTTGTACCCTGTACTATTTTTTTATTTTTTCATTTTTATGGCACTATCTCTCTTGCATCTGCACTCTTGTACAAAATACGTGTTATAATAAATGTCATATGATTTTAAAGTAAAATAAAGTTTATAATCTTTGAATATCATGTGTTGCCAGTTTTTTTATGTGTGCCCCCCTGATTAAACACTGGCCCCTCCTTGGCCCCCCTAGTAAAATGTGTCTAGAACCGCCACTGTGTGTACTACTGCATGCATCTTGCTAGAACGGAGGAGAGACCAGGGCCCGTATCCACAAAACGTCTCAGAAAAAGTCCTAGGAATCCTGTTAAAACCAGTTTTAAGACAACAAAAAACTCCCAGCTCAGAGTAGGTTTTAGGATGATGTTAAAATACTGCGCAGACAAACTTTGAGCCATGAGTAAAATCAACTCATAAAAGTTTATCTCAGCTGGTAATCACCACAGTTGGAAGTACGGCAAAGGAAAGATAGTGAGGACGCTTATTGACATGTTGCAAATGATGGGGAATAACCAATCGCGATGAGGCATCGCCAGCTGTGCAATTTATAGCACGCTTCAGATAATCACGGTGAATGTGACTGTACATCAAATGTTGCAATGGTAAAACGTTTGATATCATTTTCGCCCGACACGATCACTTTGCGTACACTTAATTATTGCCTAATATGTTGGCATGAATAACCTTCTTTTTTTTTAACCAATTCCGATATTTTGAATAATGTGATAAGCATTTTGCACAGAATCATACAGTATAATGGTTTAAAAGCTGCATTTTTATAACATTACATCTCCCGAGTGGCGCAGTGGTCTAAGGCACTGCATCGCAGTGCTAGCTGTGCCACTAGAGATCCTGGTTCAAATCCAGGCTCTGTCGTAGCTGGCCGTGACCGGGAGACCCATGGGGTGGCGCACAAGTCGTCCAGGGTAGGGGAGGGAATGGCCAGCAGGGATGTAGCTCAGTTGGTAGAGCATGGCGTTTGCAACGCCAGGGTTGTGGGTTCAATTCCCACTGGGGGCCAGTATGAAAAAAATATTTTAAAAAATGTATGCACTCACTAACTGTAAGTCGCTCTGGATAAGAGCGTCTGCTAAATGACTAAAAAAATAATAAATAAATAAATAAAAATATCCACACACTCGTCACTCCCGTTAAACAACTCTAAATCGCTTTGGCACAGTAGGTACTTGCCGATAATGTTGCATAAAACAATTGAAAGGTCTATCATTTTTACCCAACACAATTAAATGCATTACCAATTTAGGCATCTTTTTTAACAACGTGATATTCTGCTTGAAATAACATGAAAATATTTGTGATTTCTTTTTAGCATATTGGTTATAATTATGTAGGCATATATCGTGTGAATTAGGCCTCATGTGAAATCATTGTCAAAAGTGCAAGGTCTAGATTATTTATGGGTTGATCGTATAGAAATATCAAAACATTATTTCACTGACTCACTGCCTTTCTCTATAATCAAGACACCTGCTTGTAACTCTTAACTGGTTAGGATAGCTCATGAAGTGTCCTAAATATCTGTCGACTAGGTGGGACTCTTATGACTAAAGAGGCTTCATGCTGCGTAGCTTTTATTTTTACCCATCAGAAGAGGAGTAAAATGTCTCTATTCTCAGCACTTATGACCAGTTTTCTACTCTGAGATGCTTTGTGGATACGGGCCCAGCTCTGAGACTCTCAAGGAAGAGGTTGTTGCCCTAATCTGTGAGATTCACGCAATCCCTACGGTACTGCCCAGGGACACAGTGCTTTATGGCAGAGTGGTGGATTGTGGGCATGCACCTGTCACGGAGAAATGCAAACACCAGCTGGTTGACAGAGCGTTGGGCCATCTCTATGCGCTTGTTGATGTCCTCCTACCACTGGAACATCCATCTCCTCCACTGTGTAATGTCAGAGTAGACCACCGTTGTCCCAGGGAACATTCGTATGACTACCTCCAAATCGGCTCGCATCTGACGTACCAGGGATGTCCCATTTGTGTGTCCCAAGTCGTTTCCACCGAGGTGGATGACTATGATATATTCATGGTCATACCTCGCCTTGGCGAAAGAGAATATTTCAGAACCCTTCCATTGAGAACAGCTCATCCATATGTTGCGCTCATGTAGTCATCTTGCCAGCTACATTGTGTAATCGCATAGTAAATATTTGCTTCAGTCTTTGTTTCCTTGTTCTCGCCAATTTGCTTTGAGCAGTGATCAGTAGGATTATGAGCTGGGATCTTATCAATAAATAAAACTCACAACATTGTGAGGGTTCACAAGGAGAGCATGTGTTAAGCTGTATTATAATGTTGTATAATATTGTTGCATAATCATCTTCCGGTGTAAAAACCATGGAAATTAAAAACAAAAACCGATGTTTTAAGTGAGAATAGACCGAAAAATAAAGGAAATTCACAAGCACCACAATGCCTATTCCACCCATGCCCTACCAAGGTTTTCCAGCACACAGCTTTGACCTACTTTAGTAGCTATGTTGGTATTGTACTTGAAACTATGTATAGGTGGGTTGCTTACATTTTAGTCATTTTGCAGACGCTCTTATCCAGAGCGACTTACAGTTAGTGAGTGCATAGATTTATTTTTCATACTGGCCCCCCGTGGGAAACAAACCCACAACCCTGCCGTTGCAAGCACCATGCTCTACCAACTGAGCTACATGGGGCCCTTAGGAGTCAAACCTTCTAAAACAGCCTAATTCATACTCTTCAGAGGGATAATAGACTTTACAGTGTCCTGCTATTAAAATTATGTATACTGGTTTATACAGTATATATAATTTGGCTGTACGTATTTTTAGATTTAGGCCTATTGTAAATGTGTATTATTGTTGATACACCATATTTATTACAAAAATAAATACAAGTACAAACATAACTTTAAGCTACATATTATTTTGACAGAGGTAATGAACTGTCCATTGATCACCAATTGATAAAACAGGACCATGTTTGAAACACAAGTGGTTCTGAATTTATGTCAATATTACACAAGTAAGCTAACAGTTACAGAAATCAGGAATGCATACAGCCTTATATCTATCTGAGCTACTGTGTCCAACACACCACCATCTGTTGTTATGTTGGGCACCTACTGACCAAAAAAAGGATGTTATTATGATATTTTTTTCACAATGATATGTATTGCTAAAATAAAGGTTTAAGGAAATACAGGCATGCACCACATTACTACAAGACAAAACAGCTCAACCAAGCCTGATGGTCTGGTAAGTATAAAAGCAAAGCTTCCTTTCATTTAATAAAAAAAAAGCATTAAATGTAGCATAATGAGATAATGTCTTACTGTGGTGTGTGAAGAATCCAATACTTTAACTTGTATGCAGTACAAATCATATTATTGTGGAAGCACCTCCTCTAAGAGTATGAATTAGGCTGTTTGAGAAAGTTTGAATCCTAAGCAACGTGCCTACACAAAGTTTGAAGTACAATACCAACATAGCTACTGTAGTAGGTGGTAGAGCGTGGGTGGAGTAGGCACTGAGGTGCTCATGTGAATTTTTCGGCTTCAGACCAATGCCTATTCTCAGTTAAAACATATTTTTTTGTTTTTAATAATTAACCGCAATGAGTTTGCGGTCAATCATTTTAATAATTATTTTAATAAAAGTGAAATGAGCATCCTGAGCTTCCATGTTTGTTTCCTCAACACGTCACCTGACACTCAACAGACGCAGGAAGAGACAGGAATATAGAGCCCAAGTGACAATGAATTTGTATGTATTAAGGATCCCCACTAGTTCCTGCCAAAGCAGCAGCTACTCTTCCTGGGGTCCAGCAACATTAAGGCAGTTATATACAATTTAAAATATTACATGACATTACATTTCATGAGCTCCTGAGTGGTGCAGTGGTCTAAGGCCACTGCTGTGCCACTAGAGATCCTGGTTCGAATCCATGCTCTGTCGTAGCCGGCCGCGACCGGGAGACCCATGGGGCGGTGCACAATTGGCCCAGCGTTGTCCAGGGTAGGGGAGGGAATGGCCGGCAGGGATGTAGCTCAGTTGGTAGAGAATGATGTTTGCAACGCCAGGGTTGTGGGTTCGATTCCCACGGGGGGATTCCCACTGTAAGTCGCTCTGGATAAGAGCGTCTGCTAAATGACTAAAATGTAAATAACACTTTTTACAACACATTAAGTGTGTTCCCTCAGGCCACTACTCTACTACCACATATCTACAATACAAAATCCATGTGTACGTGTGTGTGTAGAGTGTGTGTCTTATCAAGTGTATGATTGATTGATTGGTACAGCATCCCCTAACCTTTCTATGCAATGGAGATGCAACAGGCCCTAAAATCAAATCATTCTTCAGTTGGAAAGCTTAAAGCTGTATGTGTAGCATGTTTAATCGGGGAGAATAGCAAGCCGGTATGTTGACATGGTTTTATAAGACCGCATCCTTTTCCCATTTCTTATCCCCGTAATGAGTGTCTTTTCTTCATTTTCTGGTTGACCACCTCCGGTAATCATTGCATCTCATCACGAGAATGTCCTTTCCCTCTCTCTGTAGCGGCACTCGCCATTACAGTAAATTAATCAGGGGCTCATCACAATAAAGTCAGGCATTAACATTATGCTTTTGTGTCGCCGACTTTTATTGCCTTGTTTTTTCCCCTTGCAGATGAAATTATACACAGGAGGATTATGACGGGGATTATGACAGGGGGAATATGACAGGGGGATTATGACAGGATTATGACAGGATTATGACAGGGGGATTATGACAGGATTATGACAGGGGGAATATGACAGGGGGATTATGACAGGATTATGACAGGGGGATTATGACAGGATTATGACAGGGGGATTATAACAGGATTATGACAGGGGGATTATAACAGGATTATGACAGGGGGATTATAACAGGGGGATTATAACAGGTGTTGCTTTGTATCGTGTCGTCATATGTGGCGTCTAGAGACAAGTGGAAAATTGTGTCTGTATTTCTGAGTTAAGATTGATTTAAAGAAGACGTCGGAAAGGCGTCAGAGCTCTATGCCATGACTCTATGTTATTCTATGGTAGCCCTAGAGACAGCAGACAATCTGATATATGGTAGCCCTAGAGACGGCAGACAATCTGATATATAGTAGCCCTAGAGACGGAAGACAATCTGATATATGGTAGCTCTAGAGACGGCAGACAATCTGATATATGGTAGCCCTAGAGACGGCAGACAATCTGATATGCTTTCCTGGGGTTTCAGACTTATACCGGCGAACTACTTAGTCGAACAGAGAATGACACACAGAAAGACAATTAACAGATATGTCTGCCTTGTTGAAATAAGCTTTCTCCGGTCGTCAAATTGAAAGGCCCTGAATTCCACACAGTGGAGGATTGTCAATGGCGCTGAAGGGAGTGGCTCTTCACTTGGCTGAACAGATTAAGAGAGTGACAGGGACCTATGACTGACTAATTCAGTGGGGGCAGCCTCCGTAGAGACACTGGATGCCTTCCAAATCACACCCTATTCCCTATCTAGTGCATTACTATAGGCCCTGGTCAAAGGTAGTGCACTTACAGTGAAAGGAATAGGGTGTCATTTGGGGCGTAACTGCTGCTTCGCCCTCTGACATGTCGCTTGACTGTCCTGCTGGAAATATCCCCTCTATGAAGTTTTGTTTAGTTAGGAAGAACCCCTCGTTCTTTACTCATAGTCTCTTCTTAAAGGTTTGTGTTGTAGGAGACGATCTGTCTTTGAACTGTGATTTACTCGAAAAATTAAGAAGATAAAGAAGATGGAAGGCACCTCTGCACCCTCATTAGGTTCTAACTTCTCTTAGTTGTTAAGAGCTTAGATTTCTCTTCAAGAGACTGAAGAAACATTTTGAAAAATGATATCGCCCTGGCGCTTAGCTGTTCCACATCACAGACAAAATAATGAATGATACATATCAGATTTTTTTATTATTCCTTCTCTCTTTTTTCCCTCAAAGGGAATCACGGGGATCTGGTTCGCCAAACACCAGAGGTGTTACATCAAGACCCAGACCACGGAGCTTCCCAAAGTGACAGAGGTGGTGACAGAGGTGGTGACAGTGGACACAGAGATATTGGTATAGAATGCCTGTCTGCATCTCTCTGACTCACTCCGTGTGTGTGTGTGTGTGTGTGTGTGTGTCCCTCCCTCCCTCCCTCCCTCCCTCTCTCTCTCTCACACAGGAAACTATCATGCATTTTTTAAGGGTAGTGTGAATAAACAGAGAAGAGTAGTCAGAGAGCAGAGCACAAACACTCACCCTGACCATCCAATCTTCTCTGCCCTCTCCCACTGAAGAATAAACTCCGGTCTCCAGTGCTCATGAAACATTCTGAAAGCTGCCCACAAATCCGCCAATCCCCTTTGTGTCTCATATCAAATAGTGTTTGCTGTCAATCTTGAACTAATATAAATATGTAATCATACTCTTCCAAAGGCTTGACCCAAATAGCCTAAAGGGGGACGTGTGAGAGAAAAAGAAAGAGAGGGGTCTGAGGAAGAGGTATAAGATTAATCTCACTTCTCCGGGCTCAATAGCCTTACGTGAAGTTTTGCGAGATTGATGAGCAAAATTCTATCAATCAAACTATCAAATTTGTCGGTGCCACAATACAATTCACAGTGCAAAAAAGTGTTTCATGTGTTTGTTTTTTAAAGAATCCATCACTCAATATTTTCGGCCTCTACCATTCCACACGCTCAATATGTTTAGCCTCTACCATTCTCCACTCTTAATATTTTTAGTCTCTACCATTCTCCACTCTCAATATTTTCAGGCTTTACCATTCTCCACTCTCAATATTTCCAGCTTCTACCATTCTCCACTCTCAATATTTCCAGCTTCTACCATTCTCCCCTCTCAATATTTTCAGCCTCAACCATTCTCCACTCTCAATGTTTTCAGTCTCACCATTCTCCACTCTTAATATTTTCAGACTCTACCATTCTCCATTCTCAATATGTTCCTCCTCTACCATCCTCCACTCTCATTTCCATTTTACACATGGCTCCAACGGAGCTGGAAAATATCATAACGCTCTTCCCTGGTCCATCATTTAACAAATACACTAAATTACATTGGTACATTGTCATGCCAAGTAAGTCACAGATATCCCTTTCTGACTTTAAGAACACAAAGCTGTTTAGACAAATAACCAGACTGCATCCCCTTCTCCCTCATCTTTTTAATGTCTGGTCCATGTTTCCAGATACTAATTGCCCAGCCTGCACCATATGTTCCTGCCATTTTGCACCGTGTGGAAAAAGTACCCAATTGTCATACTTGAGTAAAAGTAAAAATACCTTAATAGAAAATGACTCAAGTAAAAGTGAAAGCCACCCAGTAAAATACTACTTGAGTAAAAGTCTAAAAGTGTTTGGTTTTAAATATACTTAAGTATCAAAAGTAAAAGTAATAGTGAAAATATACTTAAGTATCAAAAGTAGAAGTATAAATCATTTCAAATTCCCTATATTAAGCAAACTTGACTGCACCATTTTCTTGTTTTTATTTCATTTTCAGATAGCCACGGGCACACTCCAACACTCAGACATCATTTACAAAAGAAGCATGTGTGTTTAGTGAGTCTGCCAGATCTGAGGCAGTAGGGATGAACAGGGATCAAAACTAAATCAAATTTTATTTGTCACATTTTCCTGTTCTGCAAAGCATTCACCTTTTTTCCAATCTTCCTCTGTCCAGTGTCTGTGTTCTTTTGCCCATCTTAATCTTTTATTTTTATTGGCCAGTCTGAGAGATGGCTTTTTCTTTGCAACACTGCCTAGAATGTCAGCATTCCGGAGTCGCCTCTTCACAGTTGACGTTGAGACTGGTATTTTGCAGGGTTCTATTCAATGAAGCTTCCAGTTGAGGACCTGTGAGGCGTCTGTTTCTCAAACTAGACACTATAATGTATTTGTCCTCTTGCAGGTGTGCACCGGGGCCTCCCACTCCTCTTTCTATTCTGTTTTGAGCCAGTTTGCTCTGTTCTTTGAAGGGAATAGTACACGAGATCTTCAATTTCTTGGCAATTTCTCGCATGGAATAGCCTTCATTTCTCAGAACTAGAATAGACTGACGAGTTTCAGAAGAAAGTTATTTGTTTCTGGCCATTTTGATTCTGTAATCGAACCCACAATTGCTGATGCTCCAGATACTCATCTAGTCTCAAGAATGCCAGTTTTATTGCTTCTTTAATCAGCACAACAGTTTTCAGCTGTGCTAACATAAAAGGGTTTTCTAATGATCAATTAGCCTTTTAAAATGATAAACTTAGATTAGCAAACACAGTGTGCCATTGGAACACAGGACTGATGGTTGCTGATAATGGGCCTCTGTACGCCTATGTAGATATTCCATAAAAAATCAGCCGTTTCCAGCTACAATAGCCATTTACAACATTAACAATGTCTACACTGTATTTCTGATAAATTTGAAGTTATTTTAATGGAAAAAAATATTTTCTTTCGAAAACAAGGACATTTCTAAGTGACCCCAAGCTTTTGAACTGTAGTGTACATGTAGGTAGAGTTATTAAAGTGAGTATGCATAGATAATAAACAGAGAGTAGCAGCAGCGTATGCAAATAGTGCAAATAGTATGTTCTCTTGATACAGTAAGTGTGTGAATTGGACCATTTTTCTGTTCTGCAAAGCATTCAAAATGTAACTTTTGGGTGTCAGGGAAAATGTATAGAGTAAAAAGTACATTATTTTCTTTAGGAATGTAAGAGTAAAAGTTGTCAAAAATATAATTAGTAAAGTAAAGTACAGATACCCAAAAAACGACTTAAGTAGTACTTTAAAGTATTTTTACTTCTGTACTTTATACCACTGCCATTTTGCTCTTCTTTTGTCCATTGTCAAACCTAATTAGACTTCACTGTTAATCCTTAATTCACAGCTGTGGAATCAATCAGATAGGGGGCCTTGGCTTTGGCTTTGGTGACGAGGAGACAGGGGAGAAAAGAGGAGGAGGAGGTCCTCCAGAGGATAGGGAAAGACACAAGGATGCATTGTCACACTGGATTTGTAAAGACCAAGTCCCATAATATGCATACTGGTCCATAGCCTTTTTACTGAGGAAATGTCAAGTTATGACACCCTACAGTACTATGTAAAATGTATGGCACCCTACAGTACACTGTCCTGTGCAGTGCATTTGTTAATAAAACCATTTGTTAATGTATTTGTTAACTATTAATGCATTGTAATTATTTAAGTTATTCTAAATGTTGTCAATGTATTTATTGATAATTTACTCATGTTTGTTTATTTTGTTTTGTTTTATTATTTTCCAATAAGATAATGTACTCATGTTAACTACTACATTAGCTCATTGTAAAGTGTTACCGGTATTGTATAACACACAGTGGCACTGAACTACATTATTGGAATAGCATGTCAGGGACTTGAAGACTAACCTCTCTGACCTTTGACCTCTTGTAGGCTTCCTCTACATTAGAAAGTAGAAGGTGATCCACGGTCCATCAGAATCCACCCACCCGTGGCCTGGGAGGCCTCTGTCTCTGAGACAAGTCTCCCTTAAGGTCCTGACTGTGTTACTACTGTGTGAACCACAGAGGGGTTAAAGAGAAAACAGTCATGGTTTTGCTGCTGCTCCGCTCAGCCCAGCCCAGCCAAAGCTGCGGGCTATGTGAACGTGGGCTCAGCGCGGGGCGTCTGGGGCCTCAGATTCTCAGAGGCCAGGTGAAAACAATGCAGCCGGTGGAGAAACTGCGAGCGGCTGATAAGGAAATAAAGCACTCGGGGAGTAGAACCAGGTGACAAACATGAATTGTTTGCCGCCGGTATTTTCGGCCATTCTCAATGTGTTCCTCATATAAAATGATGGGAGGCTGTAATCCCTGCGCCTCCCTCCAGTTTCCTCCAGTGTTGAAACGATGAAATAGCTGTTGTCCTTCTTCTTCAGACAGTAGAACAGTGTCATTGGATCCCTTCTTGCTCTTCGGGGTAACCACTTAATATGTATGGCCACAACCAGCCTAGCTGGCAAGCCAAAACCTCCCACTCAGATAAAAACCACAAACAAATGCCATACCATGCATGCAAAACACCACATTCTTGGAATGATATGTACTGTAGGTAAATGTCATATGACTAAAACGAAAAGCTGTATGTCATTTTGAACATATAAAGAATGAACATTATGAAAAGTGTGCCATGTCTGTATAGTATGGGAGACAGCCAGATGGGAAGTAATGTCATATACAGTCTTATGATATCATGAGAAAATCTTAATTGATCCATGACAAACACAAGTGACCTAAGTATGTGTCACAAAACAAATGTTGCACCCTTAGGACATTATAGCAAGAGAGGGCAAGTATATGTTAATTACAGTATGACACTGACTGTGTGTGGAATGTACTTACATAGGCTCAAAGTTACAATAAATACATTATATTAGTCTGACACCCAATACAGAATGTCCTTACTTTGTACAATATTATAAAGCTACAAAACAGCTTAAATTATGATATAACTGCATTGTCTTTGCACTTATCAATTGGCCTTTTTTCAATCCCTATTCCACACTAGCCATGATCAACTTAACCACTACCCAGAAGGCTGTCTTCCTTCTTGGTCTTGTTTCTCAACTGGTCGTAGAATTCATGTCCTGACCTCCATTTACTCATGTTACAGTCTGTGTCTTAACCTCCAGTTACTCATTTTGGGGAGGTTTGCTTAGTTGCTCGGCTTCAGTGGTTCTGAGTTCCAATTAGGCAGGTCTGTTTGTGTTTCCTGGCCTTCATTTTAATGTCTGTAGTTCAGGGGGAGTGAACGCCACCAGAGCCCCCTAGTCCTCCTTTGAGTCGTCATTAGCTTAGTCCGATCTGGAGCAGGCTAAACATTTGCTGAAAAGAGTGAGAGCAAACTGTATCAAAGGCTTGGTGGCTTGGCAACTTAGCTAAGCACAGGCACAGGCAGCTAGTGCTTGAGTAGCCTCGCCGCTATGCGTTCTTTAATCTGGCCAGAACGAGGTGTGAGTTCGTCTCCACAGGGTCACTGGCGTAATGTCACTTCACAACAAAAAGTTAGAGCGAGACAGCAGCATGAGCAGTAAATTCAAATAAAGCGAGAATCGGCGAGCGGTGGGGAAGGAAGGGAGGGAGAGTCGAGAGTGCACAACCTAATATAAATGATACCGGTGGTTCCAACCATAGCCCGGGGATCCTACATCAAGCTCAACTAATGTGCAATTAAGCTTCAAACCGGGAGAGAATCACCTTGTAAAAACATTTGTCAAGTAAACTGTTTTGCTGTTCTCTCCAGCCGCTAATTAACGAGGCACTGGGAAGAGGGGTTTATTTGCCGACGTATTTACATATACATAAAGAAACAAATATCAGGCATCGCCAAAAGCCCCTTTCATACATCTCTATTAGGTAGCAGTGACATGCATTCCCTATCATTAAGCAATAATAGTTTACTTTACAGCTCATGAACTACAGTATCAACAAATGAAGCACGTCGCTTGTGCTGTGAGCTGAATGCAGTAGGAGGAGATGGGGGAGGACGCTTGCTTATTATTGTGGCTGCTGTATTTAATGATATCGCAGCCTTTCACCGCACAATAAAGTATAAAGCACTACAAAGTCATTTCAAAGTCACATTTATGCTGTCGTTGGATTCACGTGTTGTTGTTGGGGAGAAAGGGCTGCCTGGAGGCCTGAGAGGAAGAAACAGAGAACGAGGAGGAAGTCAAGGCTAGCGGGAGTCAGCAGGAGGCAGGAAGTGGCGGGGGTGCTCCCAGTGGACAATAAAGGGTGATGAATAAAAGGACATGGCCAGGGCTTGTGTGCTGTGGCTCTGGGGAGAGAGGGCTGAGAATGCAGAGGGTACAGAACTGAGTGTGTGTGTGTGTGTTCTTGGGCTCTGACAGGTGTGTGTGTGGAGGAGGGTGTGCGTGCGTGCCTGCGGCTACGTAAGGGAGGGTGTGTTTGATACTCACTGTATTTGTGTGTGTGTGTGTGTGTACTTGTTTTCCTACCTTATCATGACCCCAAAGTCTTAACAATTCAACCGAATGTCCTGAAAAGGTAGGAAAACAATAACATTTTTGAAAAGTCAGGACTTTTTTCATGTCCTGAATTTGTTCAAATGCTATTTTAAGATTAAGGTTTAGGTTTTAGGTTAGGGTTATGGTTAAAGGGATATCAGTATGAAGGAAGTTAGAGTTAGTTTCGTGAGCCCATGCATGCTAGCAGATACCCATAGACTTTCGGTCACTGCGCTAACGCTAGTTGGGAATTGCGCTAGCGCTTCTTAGCAACTTCCTTTCAAAGTTCATCTGACTCAGGGGAAGTAGATAAAGGGCCTCATTGCCTAAATCCCGAAGTATCACTTTAAGGTTAGGGTTAAGGTTAGGGTTCGGTTAAGGGTTAGGGTTAGGGTTAAGGTTAGGGGTTAGGGAAAATAGGATTTTTAATGGTCAAACATTTTTACTCCCCGAAAATAAAGCTGTTTGTGCATGTGTGTGTGTGTGTGTGTGTGTTTGCTCTCCTTGACAGGTGGGTGAGACAGAGGGAATAGACATGCAGGTGGTGGAGGACTCCCAGGTGTGGGTGCCTGCCGAGGAGCCCATCGTTAACCCAGCCTTCCTCCTCAACTCCAAGATCTGGGAGATATGCCAGGAGCTGCCCATCCACTGGATCCATCCCTCCCCCATGAGAGGTACAGGGCACCGGGGCCTCTCCATTCCTCTCCACCCCCTCCATCAGATCACCTCAAACAGGAAAAACAGACGTTTCTGCTGTGATCCGGTAAAGTACATCAACAGCTGTTCTGTGTACTTCCTCCTTTTGGTGCAGATGCTGAGTTCCATGAGGTGGAGGTTGAAGAGGACATACCTGATGCTGAGGTCAGAGGTCACCGTGTCACTCGTGATGTCCTGGACCAGGTTCCTGTCAACGACTACGTATGTACTGTGCTGGGGCTGCATCTGAAATGGAACCCTATTCCCTATATAGTGCACTAGGTCCAAAGTATTGCAGTGCATAGAGCCTACCCAGCAAACTGGGAACATTCCCAGAACATTAGCTAAGATTCCCATTAAGTTAGGGTTTTATTTATTTTTTAAATAAAGAAAATATGAAAGATCCTTGGACTGTTCTCCTAACATGTACTGTTGTGCATAACATCTGTAACAACCACTACATAACCTTCCCCAAAAGTTCTCATTAAGTTTCCAGGTAATGTAATAATACAATGTACCAGTAATGTTTTCCCAGCAAACCAAAATTGGTTCTGTAAAAGTTCCCAGAACATTTGTTAGGTCGCGGCAAATGTTCTCATAACACAAAAACTGTCCATTCGTGGTGATGATTATAGAATGTTTGTATAAAACATTGGCTTGATGTTGCAAGAACGTTCCTAGAACACATTTCACCTGTTCTTTAAAGGTTCCCAGAATGTTTCATTAGGTTGTGGGAACAGTCTGGTGAGGACATTGTGGGGACATCACAAAATATATGTTCCCAAAACACAAAAACTGTCCAGTTGTGCGGATGATTCTACAATGTTTATTTTAGGGTGCATAAAACATTCACCTGATGTCACAAGACCGTTCCCATAATGTTTCATTAGGTTGTGGTAATATTGTGGGGACATGACAAGGGATATGTTCCCAAAACACAAAATATGCTCAGTTGTGAAGACATTCATACAATGTTTAACCCAGGTTGCACAAGACAAAAAAATACAGTGTTACAAGTGCACATCCTATATGGGAGAATGGGAACAAGAGAGGATGTCTTTATTTCGTCCAGATGTATAAGTCCAGTCAAATGCAGAATTTTGACTAACTGTAAAAAAAAAAAAAAAAAAAACATTGTGTAAAAATGTACTGTTCAACAACAACAAAAAACACACCCAATATAATTCCTAATTTGAGATGCTTGATACGGTCCCGCCTGGCTTATTTTTCATGATCTGAAAAACAAAAGTGATCCTAGATCAGCACTCATGGTCTTGGATACCTTGTAAATATGGCCCAGAAGTATGCAGCATATAAAGAGTATTGGTGAAGTGATGGTGAATAACCTAGTTACCAGTATTTCCCTGGGTTAGTTAAGTCTAAGAAGGCTAAAAAGGACACATTAAATTCCTGATTGACCATACTGCCATGGTTATATACTGAAAAAATAAGATGTAATAGAGCTTTACTGGTGGCGCAGAGGATACAAGACCTGGCTTGGAAACCAAACATTGGAGGTTCAAACCTCTGTGTGCAGATTGTCAACATATGAAGTGTAAAAAATATGGTTGTGTTTGTATGATTAAATGCTGTTCAAATGTGCGATGAATGAAATTAAAATGCCTTGTGTCTCTATATCACCTACAATACAGTGCTCAAATGTGAATTGCCATTAAATCTGGAGAGAAACCTAATGGGGATGTATTCCAATATGCTTTAAGGAGCTACAAATTTGCATGCTGAGAATGTTGTGGTCAAACATGTTCTGACGACCTCCAAGACAAGGTAAAATGTATATTGCGTGAAAATCAATGGAATATTATTCAACCTAAAACAAAAATGCTATGAACGTCATAAAAACGGACTTATTTCATTCTTACAACATTAAGGGAATGTCCTGTGCAACCTAACTTAAACATTGTATGAATGTCATTACAACTGAGCATATTTTTTGTTTTGGGAACCTACAGTTTCTCTTGTATTTTACCCACACTGTTCCCACAACCTACTTATATGTTCTGGGAACCTTTAACGGACTCAGAAAGGATGTTCTGTCAATATTCCTGCAACATCAAAGGAATGTTTTGTGCACCCTGATACAAATATCTGAATGTCAGCAACACTGGACAGTTTTTGTGTGTTGGGAACATATCTCTTGTCATATCCCCACAATCTTCCCACAACCTAAAGAAATGTTTTAGGAACTTTTAAAGAACATAAAAAATGTGTTCTGTGAATGTTCTTGCAACATCAGGCAAATGTTTTTTGGAACCTAATATAAACATTGTAATAATCAGCACAACTGGACCGTTTTTTTGTTTTGGGAACGTATCTCTTATGATGTCCCCACATTTTCCTCACCAGACTGTTCCCACAACCTAATGAAACATTCTGGGAACCTTTAAAGAACAGATTAAATGTGCTCTAGGAATGTTCTTGCAATAACAGGCAAATGTTTTATACAAACATTCTATAATCATCACCATGACTGGACAGTTTTTGAGAAAAACTTTCACAGATCCAATTTTTGTTTGCTGGTTATAGGGCATCCGAAATGACACCCTATTCCCTATATAGTGAACTAGGTCAAAACTACAGTGCCTTCACATATTGACCTATTCCACCTTTTGTTATGTTACAGCCTGAATTCAAAATGGATTAAATAGATTTTTTTCTCACCCATCTACAAAAATATGCTAATCAGAAATATCTAATTTACATAAGTATTGACACACCTGAATCAATACTTTGTAGCTGAGTCTTTTTGGGTAAGTCTCTAAGAGCTTTGCACACCTGGATTGTACAATATTTGCCCATTATTCTTTAAAAAATTCTTCAAGCTCGTGACAAGTTCATTGTTGATCATTGCTAGACAGACATTTTCAAGTCTTGCCCTAGATTTTCAAGCCGTTTTAAGTCAAAACTGTAACATTCAATGGCGTCTTGGTAAGCAACTCCAGTGTAGATTTGGCCTTGTGTTTTAGGTTATTGTCCTGCTGAAAGGTGAATTCGTCTCCCAGTGTCTGTTGGAGTAACTACAATGTTGTTGATCCATACTCAGTTTTCTCCTATCACAACCATTAAACTCTGTAATTGTTTTAAAATCACCATTGGCATCATGGTGAAATCCCTGAGCAGTTTCCTTCTTCTCCGGCAACTGAGTTAGGAAGGATGCCTGTATCTTTGTCGTGACTGGGTGTATTGATACAGCATCCAAAGCATAATTAATAACTTCACATTTTTAGACATCTACCAATCGGTGCCCTTTGTGAGGCATTGAAAAACCTCCCTGGTCTTTGTGGTTGAATCTGTGCTTAAAATTCACTACTCGATTGAGGGACCATACAAATAATTGTATGTGTGGGGTACAGATTCCACTTTGACATTATAGGGAATTGTGTGTAGATCAGTAACACAAAATCTCAATTTTAATCAATTTTAAATTCAGGCTGTAACACAACAAAATGTGCAAAAAGTAAAGGGGTGTGAATACTTTCTAGTGCACTATATAGGGAATAGGGTGCCATTTTGGACGCAAACCAGCACCACACTAGGCGATACGAGCCACAGTGGTGCCTAGTTCTCCTTAATTTACTTCTGCAGAGAAATTGACTCTCGCTAATTGATGCTGACTTTCATAGCATAAAACAGACTTGTCTTGATGTACCACAGGGCATAGAAATTGCTCTCTATATCTGTTTAAATGAACTTGCCTTGCTTAAGACTCCCTTAATGTCTCTACATTAATGGAGAGGAATATCTAGCCTTCAAAAGGCAGCACCGTTTCCCCCACAGCCTCAGCCAGAGCCTTTTTTGCTTTCTTTTCGAGCAAAGGCAGGCATCTAGGGAACATCGTACAGAGCAGCACTCCCAAGGTCACTCATTACTGAATAGATATGGCACATTTATTAATCATGCCTTAATTATCAAGGAAGGAAACAAAGCGTGAAGAAGACATAATGCCATGTTTTTGTGCATGTAAGCGGCTCATTGCTCCATGATTAGTTAGCCTTGACACACACGAACGCACACACACGTACAGCAACACACATAGTATAGACTGACAGGTACACACCCAGACTGTCTAAGTAAGAGTTAAAAGCTCATTCCAGAGAAGGAAGAATAGTTTTGAGTTCTGAGGAACCAGGGGACGGATGGACACGCACACATACACACACACACACAAAGCCATAATATTAACATTTATCAGGCCGGGCCCAGGAATACCTGCCTGCCTGCCTGCCTGCACTCTCCTCCCTCTTCTCTTCTCTTCTCCTCTCCTCCCTCTTCTCTTCTCTTCTCCTCTCCTCCCTCTTCTCTTCTCTTCTCCTCTCCTCCTCTCTTCCTCCCCTCCTCATCCTCTATGGCCCCAGCTGCAATGCTATGTAATTAAAGCATACCGGGAGATGAAACCTGCTCTCCTTTTGAAAATCAGCTAAGCTCCAACTGGCCCCTTCCAAGGCCACAGCCAGACAGTGTTTGTGGGCCCAGCAGATAACAGAGGCCTTGTGACCGACGAAGGGGAGGAAACAAGTTATAATTGGGGAGTCTGAAGTTGATGATGCCAGTGGATGAGTCTGAAGTTACTGTTGATGCCAGTGGGATGAGTCTGAAGTTGATGATGCCAGTGGATGAGTCTGAAGTTACTGTTGATGCCAGTGGGATGAGTCTGACGTTGATGATGCCAGTGGATGAGTCTGAAGTTACTGTTGATGCCAGTAAGGATGAGTCTGAAGTTGATGATGCCAGTGGATGAGTCTGAAGTTACTGTTGATGCCAGTAGGATGAGTCTGAAGTTGATGATGCCAGTGGATGAGTCTGAAGTTACTGTTGATGCCAGTGGGATGAGTCTGAAGTTGATGATGCCAGTGGATGAGTCTGAAGTTACTGTTGATGCCAGTAGGATGAGTCTGAAGTTGCTGTTGATGCCAGTGAGATGAGTCTGAAGTTGCAGTTGATGCCAGTAGGATGAGTCTGAAGTTGCTGTTGATGCCAGTATGATGAGTCTGAAGTTAATGTTGATGCCAGTATGATGCGTCTGAAGTTGCTGTTGATGCTAGTGGGATGCCGACATAGACCTAGACCTTTTGTAGAGCGCCAATTCTGACCCCCGCACCCCTCCACCTGATCTGGCCTCCACCGTGGCCCTTCCTCTGACGGCCACT